TAAAGAGTCCCTGGCTTTTCTTGGGCTGGGTCCTAGCCAGGAAAGAAGAGTGGTCTTTCTTCTTGTTGGGCTCTGCGATGGTCTGAAGCCATGTGAGCTCCCCCTTCTGGTGAGTTTTCCGTTTATTAATTTTTTACATTACCAGCCTGGAAGCTCATGAGCTCTTGTTCAAGAGTTGTTATAGAACTTAATTTATAGTGTTCCTCTCTTCCCAGAAATAGGTGGGTAGAGCCGAAAGTTCCACCCCTCTAATTAGTGCTATCTTGGGCCCTTACCCTAAGTCACCTCATTAGCATAAACTCAAGTGCTCTCAAAAGGGGCTCCTTACAAATGACTAGAGACACTTCTCTCGCTCAGGAAATTCCAAGGGTTTTAGGAGATTTGTGCCAGGTGCCTGAGACAAAGACCACATACACTTTTTCTTACATCACATATATAGTGATTGCCTTTTAGACTGAGTCAGGCTAAAGGACGGTGCTGCTAGGTATAATCTGGATGTCTGTGGCATTGTTGTAAATTATGGGTTAACGGGCAGTCCCAGGGATTCTTGTGATTGATCACGTTGCACCTGGCACAGTGGTTCTGAACACCCAGAACATTAGGAAGCTGTGGATAGAAGCTGACCTGCCATGCTGGGGTAATTGCAGTAGCACAGCCAGGCAAGAGAATCCACTAAAATTAAATTAAAACACCACCTTGGTAAATCTGACCCTGGTATCATTTTCTTGAAGGACATTTCCCAGTAACAATAACATGAAAAATCCACCCTTAGCCTCCCCTATCTCCATTTTATTAAATACGCAACACACTCACATTGTTTTTCCTGAGAGTTGTGTCTCTTAACTGCTAGTGGCTGAACTCTCCATGTCTGGATATTAGAGGCATAAAAAAACATGATTTTTATGAGTGTTAGGTAGAAATTCTCATTTTGGCTTAGTAACAAACACTCTTATTATAGTTAAACATTACTTTAATTAAAAAAGGATATGATGCCAAAACAATTATCACCTGTTAGATAAATACTTTTTTTCTCCCAAATTAAAAACTTTTTGTGGTGGTAAAATATACACAACAAAGCATGATTTTAACCAAGTTCAGGCATGCAGTTGATTCAGTGTCATTAAGCACAGTCACACTGTTGTCAATAACCACCACATTCCAGCTCCAGAGCCCTTTCAACTTGAGATACTGAAACTCTGTGCCCATTAAACACTAACTCCCCAGCCCCCTTGTGCTCCCAGCTCCCCAACGACCACCATCCTACTTCCTGTCTCTGTGAATTTCACTGTTCCAGCTACCTTATATAAGATAAATCATACAGCATCTGTCCTTTTGTGACTGGCTCATTTCACTTAGCATAATGTTATCAGGGTTCATGGATGTTGTTGCAGGTGCCAGAATTTCCTTGCATTCTGTGGCTGAATAATATCCCATTATCTTTGTAGACCACGTTTTGTTTATGCCTTCACCTGTCGGTGGGCACTTTGGTTGCTTCTACCCTTTAGCTGTTGTGAATAATGCTGCTTTGAGTGTGTGTGTGCAAAAATCTCTTTGAGTCCCTGCTTGCAGTTCTTGTGAGTATATACCCAGAAATGGAATTGCAGGATCATATGGTCATTCTATTTTTAATTTTTTTTTTTTAGAGAACTGCCATACTGTTTTCCATAGCAGCTGCATCATTTTACATTCCCACCAGCAGTGCACAAAGTTCCAGTTTCTCCACATCTTCACCAATACTTGTTATTTTTCTGTTTTTTTTTTTTTTATTTTGGTGGGGGGAGATAGGGTTTTTTGGATTATTTTCTGATATTTTTTGTTTGTTTTTTGTTTTTGATAAGTGTGAAGTGGTACCTTGTGCTTTTGATTTCTATTTCCCTGATGACAAGTGATGTTCAGCATCTTTCTCTGTGGTTAGATATGGCCTCTTTGGAGAAATGTCCAGATAAATACTTCCGGACATAAAATTCGCTGAGTTAGGAAATACAAGATGCCTTGTAAGAAAAGTTCTGAGGACCAGAGGTTTCACTACTGTTCCTCTGTGGAGCCATCCCCTCTCTCAATTCCCTTCTAGTTAGACAAGAGAAGCTGGAACCTTTCTTTGGAATAGTCTCCTGACCATCTGGTGCCTGTTCCCTCCCCGGGGAAAGGACATGGTGAGGACTTAGGAGAGTGACTGCCTGCAGATGGGCTTCCAGCCCAGGCCTCTCTGCAAAAGCCAAGTTCTTGAGATGGTGCCGCCACTTCCTCACCTGCTGCCCTCACTCCTGAGAGCTGTGGCGACGGGAATTTGCTCAGCCCTCCTTCCCAGGCCACTTAATTCTTAGATTTGTTAATGGAAATAATGTTTCTGTAATTTGGGTTCTACATGTGCGGTTCCACCTTGGGTGTCAGTTGTGGTTGGGTAGGTTTTTCATGAAGTGCCTTTTACTCTTTGATCTTCTGCCCTTCGGGGTCAGTCTCATCACAGAGAGCAGGGGTTTGCAAACTATTTCTGCAGAGAGTCAGTTAGTAAATATTTTAGACTTTTGAAGATCACGAGGTCCCTGTTGCGGCCACTCAAGTCAGCTGTTGTAGCCGCAAGTCTACATAGAAGATGCATAAAGGAGTAGTCCTGGCGCTGGTCCAGCATAGCTTCGTTTAGAATAACAGGCAGCAGGCTATACTTGGCCCATGGACTGTAGTTTTGCAGACCTCGGGCAAAGAGTTTCACTCCGAACCATCTCTAATTTGACTGGCCTCCATTATTTTAACATAGGCAGATATCCAAGTGGAACAGACCCGGCAACACTTTTACGAACTGTCTCTTGAATATGTGTGTAAGCTTCAGGAAATCCAAGAGAGGAAGAAGTTTGAGTTTGTGGAACCCGTAAGTACAAATAGCAAGTTGCTCTGCTAGTCGAATTTCGTGATATAATAGGAATGTGTTTCTTTGAAGATCTAATTTATGGTTGCTAGAGGCTGTGGTGCATAAACATGAAGCAGGACGTCGTAAATTGTACACAGTGCACCCAGAGCTATGAAGTCAAAGAATCACTTCTAAATAGTGGTTCTGGGCCTTATTTGCACAGCAATGTGTAATGAGAATTATTCCTTTTGCTATATGGTCTCAAGGACTCTGCAATCAGGTACAATTTCTGCCGTCCTAGCTGTAACTCCACCCTTAAAAAAAAAAAAGGTCCCCATGAAAGAAATTATATTGGAATGTGAGTGAGCGTGGGATATTTATGGGATAATCTTTATTCAAGTTCGTTCTAAAGCAAGTGCATCCATCCAAACCTTGGTACTTTCAGCAATTATTGGTAACCAACTATTTCTAATACAATTCACAATGCTTATGCAACCTAAGTTAAGAACCAGTGTGTGGAACATTTGAAACTATTTTGTGAGTTACTCTGACATTTCTTTTTTTTTTTTTTTTTTTTTTTGCGTTACGCGGGCCTCTCACTGTTGTGGCCTCTTCCGTTGCGGAGCGCAGGCTCTGGACGCGCAGGCCCAGCGGCCATGGCTCACAGGCCCAGCCGCTCCGCGGCATGTGGGATCTTCCCAGACCGGGGCACGAACCCGTGTCCCCTGCATCGGCAGGCGGACTCTCAACCACTGCATCACCAGGGAAGCCCTCTGACATTTCTTTATACTTATTTTAGAAACACATGATTTTTTTTTTTTTGTGCTTTATATAGATGCGCTCTGAGAGCTTCAGTTGCTTATATGTTAACATATCTACGAATATATGTATCTTTTGAATCAAAATATAAAGGGTATTTTATACTGTGGATTTTAGCAAAAAAAACCAGAGGTACACTGAGATTCATGATAGTCAAGATTCACTTTAATTTTAACATAGACTATATTGCATGTGATTTTAAAAAACAGCTTTATTGAGATATAATTCACATGCCATACAATTTACCCACTGTGTGTGATGTTGAGCAACAAACCAAAAAACAAACAACTAATGATTCATTAAAAATAAGCATTCGTGGAAGCTATGGTCCAGTGGAGTAATTGAATTACCTTAAATTAAATAATTAGAGAAAACCTCCTTAAAGCTTTCTTTTTATGTGAAATCATAATAATGGCCTACATTTTATTTACTGAGCATTTACAGTGCTCAGTCATTGTTCGGGTTGTTGTTCTAAGTACTCTTCTGTGATCATGCATGTATTCCACACAGTACCCTACTGAGGAGACATTTTAATTATCCCACTTAGCAAATGTAGAAATTGAAGTAGAGAAACTTCAGTAATTTGCCCCAGTTGGGAATTGACCCTTGCTGGCCACTTGTCAGAGTCCCAGATTCCTTACCATTACGCGGCGTGACATTCTGAAGACAGTGGATCTCAGGATTTCCTTAACCCTCACCCGAAATCACTCTTACTCTAGATTTTCTCACATGTGGGGGAGAAGCAGTACCCTCTGATCAAGAGGGGCATGTGGAGAGTTTGTAGGAAACTCAGGGCTTAATTACTGCCCTGCCTCTGCCCCTCTCTGCTCCAGTCACTGAGCATCCTTGTCAACAAAACAGAGAGGTAACTCTGCGCTGGATGCCCTTCAGAAGAGCTTTTAGCTCTTTGATCTGTATTTCACTTTGCTTATAGGTTCTATCGACCTATAGTGATAAGGTTTCAGTTATAAATGAATATAGGGATTCTCTTGACTCAAAAGGACAAATGGGTGATGTGGAATTCCATTTCTCCTATACAGCATACTGTAAAAGCTGTCTAATGGCTCTGATATTTAAGGAAAAAATCACAGATCCTTTTATTTTTTTTATAGGGACCAATTAATGAATAACATGCAGTTAGGTTTAGTTGAATTCTAGTGACTTCCTTTTAATGATTGTACTTCGATAGAATCATAATGAGATGAGGCAAAATACGTGGCTTTTAAATTTTTTTTTCTCACTGAGATTTTTTGGGTGCTAATGTCGCCTTTTCTCCTTTGTTTTAGATGCTGTCATTTTTTCAGGGAATGTTTACTTTCTATCATCAAGGCCATGAACTTGCCAAAGACTTCAATCACTACAAAATGGAACTACAGATCAACATTCAGAATGTAAGAAAACGGAAGCTTTCTCCTAAAAAAGATGTTTGAGAGGTGTAGTTTTGATTTCTTTGGTGTATGAAAAGCCTTAAACCAAGACCAGGCTGATCTGTTGGTACCGAGAAACTGAGGCTACGTTGCCACCTTCTGGTCAGTTCTTGGTGTAACAAACTGTTCTCCAGCTAAGGGAGGCTCCGAATTCTGCTGCAGGCGGCTATGTTTTTTTTTTTTTTTTTTAAGAATTCATTTCCTATAATTTATTTTTCTTCCCTTATTTTAAGAAAAGTCATGAAGTATGTTTTTACAATCAGAATTTCACATAATTTGCCTTATTTTTTATTTTTCCAGTATTATTGAGATATAATTGACACACAACACTGTGTAAGTTTAAGGGTTACAGCTTAATGACTTAACTTATTATATTGCAAGATGATTTCCGCATAAGTTAACATCTATCGCTTCGTGTAGTTGAAAATTTTTTTTCCTTGTTATGATAACTTTGACTATCTACTCTCTTAGCAACTTTGAAACAAGTCATGTGGCAGTGTGACATAGTTATTCTGCACTTTGTGAGGCAGTTCTAAGGATAACCTCTGTTGTGTAAGTCTAAGTCCGCTCTGTATGAAACAGACAAAACAGTCCTCCATTTTAAATTTAAGGCATTTCAATTCTAATTTAAATTTCTTCTGTTACTTGTATGTCTTATTTGATATTTATTCCCAGATAGGCTAACAGTTCCAGTGGAATTTCTTTCCTGTGTCTTGTGCCTGCCTATTCACTACTGTATTGGTGTTCACAGTTGCTGTTGGCCCTTTATTGTTTTCCTGGAAGATGTATGGTTTCTGTTAGGTCTTGGATAAAGAGGTTTTTTGAGAACTATTAAACAGTATAATGTATGTGATTTTGATCAGAAGGTGGTAGATGTTTTTCCTTTCAACACTTCTGTTGATTTTGGAAGTGTCCTCATTGAAAAGCTATTCAAGTTATGTTTAGTGTAATTTCAAACCTTGTTAAAAACAGTGAGTGAGTTTTGGGACAGACTCGCAGCCCATCCTGAAAGACATATAAGGAGAAGGTTAGGGATCTCTGTGCTGTTTGCTACCTGACCTTCAACCTCTTATAATCTTAGAAATTGAGGACTAATGGTTTTTGTGTAGATTTTGTTTCTAAGTTATTTTGGTATAGTTCCCTACATTTGGGAATGTAGGTAACGAAATCTATTGTGTTTTGTAATTTATGCGTCAATTTGTATTTGAAGATTCTACACTCTGTTCAGTTAAATGACTAAAAGAGTAGAGTCCTCCCTACACCCTCCAAGATCAGTGATATAAGGTAACATAATTTAAAAATATGTCAAAGCGTATATATGTAGACTAGTCCTAACTTCAAAAGTGTCTCTGTAGGTAGTAGAACATTTAGTCTAATGATGCTGTGATGTATCAGAATACTTCCGTAGACAGTAGAACACAGCGTTTGTAAAAAGAACATTACATAGTTAGTTTAGAAGATTAGGTTATAATCCTGATTTTTTGTTCCCCCCTCCACTAACTGTATAACTTGTGTCTGTACCTCATCTGTCAAGGGCAGGGCTGGCCTGGATGAGAACCTTCAGGCATAACTGATCCATAATTTGTGTAAAATGAGGAGGCAGGGTCCCTTATTCAAAAATGACGAATTTCAAGGCAGTGACGGCAGAGCATTAGATCAAGTGCGCGACCTTCTGAGCGCAGGGCTGTGGGTGACGGCATGGGCCACCTGCCCGTGAAGCCAGCCGGGCCTCAGGGTCTGGGGACACATCAGCGTCTCCTGGGGGCTCCAGAGAAACTGTCCACGCACAGCTGGCTTATGTGGAAGTTCATTTATCACACCCACCCTGGGGTCAGGGGCCTATAGTTACCTTAAATACACCAAAATAATTTCAGCGAGATTCAAGATTTAAATGGGAGTGAGCACTACTCAGGCATGAACTACTGTAAGCAACACTTGAAGACAGCCTATCATTTGAAATGGGTCAGCTGGTCAATGGGATCTAACTTAGTCTATTAAGAACCTAACACACATACTTGGTAACTTGGCATTTCCCATGAAGAACTGGGCGAAGAACAAACTACTGGAAAGAAAATCTTTTCCTGTGTCCTCTGGAGCTTCAGAATTGTCATCAGGAAGTTGCCTGGGGTCCTCCACCTCTGTGCCTTTTGTTCTGGCTCTTTCTGAGGCTGCTCGTGCAGCTCTGCAGGTAGAGGCTCTGCCTTCCGCCTCACCTTCAGTGTTGAGGACACCTGCTCCGGAAGTCGCCTGTGCTCTTTACTTTTGCTTCTAGCTCAGTCTTTGCCCTTCAGAAATACCAGAACCTTTGAAACACATGCCACTCAATTCTACCTCACCTGCTATATCTCAGTATTGCTGTAATTTACTACTTTCTTGGCCATTTCTCTCATTCCCTGAGGATGTCAGCTTTTAGCATATCGAAGGGAAAGTGTTGGCTGCATAAAACTACGTATTACAAAAATCCCAGCTGTGTGTTACTTTTTTTCTTAAATTGAAGTATAGTTGATTTACAATGTTGTTAGTCTCAAGTGTACAGCAAAGTGATTCAGTTATACATACATATGGATATATCCTTTTTCAGATTCTTTTCCGTTATAGGTTATTATAAGATTTTGAGTGGCGTTCCCTGTGCTACACAGTAGGTCCTTGTAGTTTATCTATTTTATATATAGTAGTGTATATATGTTAATCCCAAACTCCTAATTTCTCCCTCCCCACCCCTCTCCCCTTTGGTAACCATAAGTCCATCTTCTACGTCTGTGAGTCTATTTCTACTTTGTAAATAAGTTCATTTGTATTATTTTTTTAGATTCCACGTATAAGCGATATCACGTGGTATTTGTCTTTCTCTGTTTGACTTCTGTGTGTTACTTTTTATGCTCTGCGTATTTATGTATTGAAAGAAACATACCGAAATGTTGAAACCAAATCTTGGAGTGAACTGTCTGTGCCCTATAATGGTAGAGATAATTTTGGTCAAGTTTTAGGTATTTTACTATAGCAAAAAATGACAAAAACCATTTTATAATCAGAAAAAAGGTAAAAGTTATTTAAAAGTGAAAGTAACCTATTTTCACTCAACTGGTTTCACCTTTTCTGTTGTAAAAATGGTTAGACCTTTTTTTTTTTGAGAGAGATTCAGTCTTTTTCCATTTTCCATAATCTAGAGTAATTAATGGACAGCAAAAAAGAGCAAGTTGGTTTTTAAAAAATAGACTTTGCAGAAGAATGTACATTTCATCAAAATTAAAGGATATTAAAAAAACCTAATTTAAAATTTTTGTGATCTCTATCCCCAAAGGAGACTAGAATAGAGTTCTTCTCAGGAAGAAGTAGAATCCTAAGAAATTTTAGGGATTCTGAAGGAGTACCCAGAAGATACTAAGAATGGGGAAGAATAATTTAAGGATATGCACAGATAATTTTGTTACAGTTTTGTGAGCAAAGTAGAACACTAAAGTGATAAACTATGTTTACCAGAGGGGGAAAAAAAAAGATTGGAAGTGACTGTGTAAAAATATGAACATGATTGTTTCTGAGAGATGAGTTTCTGGTCACTTTTTAATCTTGTTTATACTGCCTCTTTTTGCCTCCAGGCAGGGCTGTTTGTGCTGTCCCCCTCTCTATTTTATAATGTTGTGAATTAGCTTTTATAACCACCCCCCCAAAAATTTTAAAAATGTACTTTCTCTTTCATTCAGATAAAATTTTAGTTTGATATTGAAGATTCTCTTTTTTCCTTTGTTAGGGAATAATTGTCACTTTTCAGTGACTTAATTGCAATTAAAATAATAATAATGCCACTTACATTTATTTTGTTACCATGTGCCAGGTGTTACCTACGTGCTTTTCTTTGGATTGTACACATTTAGTCTTCAAAGGTGTCCTATGATGTAGATTTTTTTATTCCTTCTTCACAGATGAGGACAATGAGGAAAAATCTTGCTGGTGTCATACTGCTTTAAGGCCAGGGCAGCACTGGAACTTGGGCAGGCATTTCAGGGGCCCAAGGCAGTTGCTTTCAGATTTAGTGTTGGTGTAGAAATGGGTTCACTCGTGGTGTATCTGGGGTCAGTAAATATAGGAGCTGGGGAACATCCTGACATGGCTGTTTGGCTTCCCTGGACCTTAACAATTTCTGGGTAACATGGGAGTCCCTTTAATGGTAAGATCTCAGATTTAGGTACTGATGGTAAACCTCAGCTCGCGTCTACCTCTCAACAGTTCTAACCTGCGTTCCCCTCACTCCCATGGAAGGTGTCCTTCGGGTGTTTTTAGACTTGATCACCTGTTGACCTGGCATCCACTGCACTCCATTCCTTACTCTGTCGCCTCCCCATTCATAGGGCACTTGAGATGTTTGAGGATTGTAGTGAGAGGTGTGTGTTAGCACCCTACCCCTTCTTTTCTGTTTTATTATTTTGGGAGGTTACTAAAGCAGGCTGCAGGGGGCCCACCCCCTGATGTTGTACAGCTGCTTCGGGAAACCCTCTTTATATTTTTAATTATCCTTTTGCTCCCTGAATGAGGTCATGGGGCCATGATGGGAAAACTTAAAATGAAAAATGGCAATCTGTACTTGGAATTAGCCTTTGCCATCTGCCTGTGAAGCTTTGTTTCTGGGTAAAACTTAGTGTGAACAGTGCATCCTCTCCCCCCTCTTTCTTTCCTCCTTAAATATGGGTGTGAACATGTGCTAAGCCTGACCTGCCAGTTTTGTAAAGTACTCAGATGTGTCCGAATTCCAGCTTAGTCTCCACATTCTCTTCCCCCCAGAAGGTGATGTAATGAAATATTTAATTTATAAGACTTAAGACTCATTGGTTTGGAAATTTGTTTATTTATCAAAGCATGCAAGGAAAGGAAGTACAGCAATGTTGTTTTATAAGCATTGGAAAACGCTAGGCTATCTCGTAGATTATTGTGAGGATTAAAAGCACCGTAAACTGCTCTCAGTCATGTCATTCACAGTGTAAACACTCTCATGTGACCTATGGTAACACTTAAGGTCTAACATTATTATTATTTGATGATATCTTCCCATTCAGCCAGAAATTAGAATTGGAAATTGCTAGGTTCCAGCCACTTTATTATTTGTGCTCAAATTTTGAGAAATGTAATTTTCACCCTCATTTGTAATTTGCCTAAAATGATACATTAAAAAAATGCAGCTGAACTTTCCTTTCCCTTCCCGGTGCAGAGTCACATCTGAGGAATGACGGCAGTGGGGGCAGGGTGTACCGCGTGGAGGTGTCTGTGGCAGTGAAAGTGGGGGTGGGAAGGTGCAGAGGCAGTACGTACAGAGGAGGTGCAGAGGCAGCATGTACAGAGGAGGTGGCTGGCATATTTGGGAGACTGGTTACATTGAGCAGATACTTTAATTGAGCAAATAAGTAAATCTGTTGAGAATAACGGGAGCCAGGTTTTTTACTGTCTGAAAAGAAATGTGGGTGGGCTAGAAAGAAACCTGCAGTACTGGATTGGAATTAAGTGTAATGGTATGAACTCATGGGTTTTAAGATAGATAGGTACAGAAGTTGTGATATGTATATGTACATATAAATGTGTATATATATAAATGTACTCACACACACACACACACACACACACACACATATATATATATATATATATATATATATATATATACATGCATTTTCTCACTCTGTCTTCCAGGAAGACCTAGAAGCAATAGCACCCCCTTAGCTGTGAGCACACTGTCCCTAGATCTTGGTTTCTAAATACTACCAGAGTGAAATAAGTCAGAAAGAGAAAAACAAATGTCGTATATTAACTCATATATGTGGAATCTAGAAAAATGGTACAGATGAACCTATTTGCAGGGTAGGAATAGAAACACAGACATAGAGAACAGGTGGGATGAATTGGGAGATTGGGATTGACATAAATACCAGGTATAAAATAGATAGCCAGTGGGCACCTGCTGTATAGCACAGGGAGCTCAGCTCGGTGCCCTATGATGACCTAGATGGGTGGGATGGGGTGGGGGAGGGAGGTCCAAGAGGGAGGGGATATGGGGATATATGTATATGTACAGCTGATGCACTTCGTTGTACAGCAGAAACTAACACACCATTGTAAAGCAATTATACTCCAGTAAAAAAAAAAAATACTACCCTCCCCTGTAAGGAACAATGACTCCTTTGGAGAAATGGCTGATTCTAGGACTGGGACAGAAAAAGTATAAGGTAAACCTGGGATACCTTTTTGGACCAGAGGGTAAGGGGTTACTCAGAGAATTAAGTGGGTATGTCAAGAGAAACAGGAGCCAGCTAGAAGGGGCCTCTGCTGGTCAAATCTAGGACAATTTGAGCATTAACTTAAATAATGAGAATTTGGGATACAACTCATTAAGTTAATTGTGTGTGTGTGTGTGTGTGTGTGTGTGCGCGTGCGCGCGCGCGTGCATGCACGCAATAGCATCTATACATATATGACATGCACATGTGTGTATATGTGTGTGTATGTATGCATAAATATTAGATACACAGAGATAGAAAGAAGTGAGTGTTGCAGAGAATCTCAGTAAAGTGACAAAGCAGGTGAATAAAATTAGGGTATAATCAGTATTAAGATGGGGACAAGAAATCCCAGAGACATGAGAAACAGGAAGGCAGGAGAGGAAAAAGGCCATCAATAAATGAGTCCCACCCTCTTTGCAGCCCTAGTACGTTCTTATAGTACATAAACAAATTAAAAAAAAAAAAGCTCTCAGCTTGTGTTTGAAATAAGCCTGTGCAGTTAAGTTTCCCCTTTACAGTGTACATTTATCAGACTCTCCATCCCCCTAAAAAATGTACTATTCTATCATTTTTCTGCATTTAGAACTCTTGGTAACCCCTTTCATTGTAGGGAGGAGAGAGGAGGAATTTCAATAATAATTTTTCATCTTAGCTCTTCCACAGTTTCACATCAGCAGTTTTTCGGTATTAATACAATTATTTTTGAGTGCAGATGGAAGAAATGTCCAGCAACTTGGTGGTGCTGAGTCGTCAGGTTTGGCTGGGTACTTTCATCACTTCACCTTGCATGTCCATTTTCACTCTAGCCATTTGACAGAGATATTGTCATCCCAAGTCTCCTGGGCTTCAGAAATGTGATTTGTCTTTTTAGATATCAAAGACATTATTTGTAAGTGAGATTCCCCCCTACTTCCTTCTTCTATGAAGAAACATCATTTTCAAGTGCAATTGCCATGACCTGGAAAAAATGGCACTGATATTTATTAGTTTGCAAAGAAGAATCAAGTTTTTCAGATTCTGAATTCTCAGACATATTGCTGATATAATAGTAATGAGTCAGATTGATTGTTGCAAAGGAAAGACTTCCCAGATAGATATTTTATGACCTATTTTTTTAAATGTAAGATTTAGTAATATTGTGAGACCTGCAGGCAGGAATTCTTATGTTGAATAATAGAATTATTCTTGGTGTTAGAAAGCTTCAAAAGTAAATAAACGCTAGTAACCTTGGTTTCTATATTTCTGTTAACTACTTAACCACCAATTTTTTTTCTTTGCACAATGATCTCAACAAAGAGATACATGGGAAAGGATGGGTATATTTTGAGAAATCTGTACAAAAACACTACAAATTTAGTTATAGTTATCCAGAGACTTAAAAACGTACATGAAAAATCTCCTGTGGGAACTTAAAACTTGTATGTGTTTTTTAAATCCTTTTCAGACACGGAATCGTTTTGAAGGAACAAGGTCGGAAGTGGAAGAGCTTATGAACAAGATTAGACAGAATCCCAAGGACCACAAACGAGCGAGTCAGTTCACAGCGGAAGGCTACCTGTATGTACAGGAAAAAAGTAAGAGGCTCTCCAACAGTGATGAATAACTAATTAAAAATTATTTTAAAGCTTTCATTGTAGTTTGATACTTTTGGAGTAATTATTCCTACCGCTTTCTTGCTCTCTCCTATCCTGGAAGGCATACGTTGGATTTTTTGGGGGAAAACACATTCCTGCTCT